AAACAGTTTTTTGAAAAAAAATCGTTTAGTAGCTTGAAAAGCATGATCACGATAAACAGTGGCGGACGCAGGATTAAAATAAAGATGAGGCGAAGATGCTCGTCTCAATAAGAACAACTAAACGCAAAAAATACCATATTTATGTTGTAATCATATTAACATATAGTATAATCAATAAATTAAGGCAAACAAAAAACAAAAATGATATTAAAATAAAGTAATAATTTTTGCGCCGTACATAATTCGTCATACATAAAAAGATACCAGTAAACATATCAATTTACAAATATGAGTCCATTCATAAAGCATGGTTGATAGATATCTTTTAAAAAATAAATATATAAGAAGATATCGCATACCAGAATAAAATGATTATTATTTTGCTTAGAAGGGAGAGAAAGAAAAACAGTAGGCACTTACTATAGTAAGGGACGGGGGTGAACGATGTTGAGGAATTGACCGAGGAAACCATCACATACGCAGGATTAAAATTGGACACTTGGGCTGCTTATTTATGGGCCAATTGTGAATTGGATGTGGTGGTAGACGGTCCAAGAAGGATATGGAGGGTCGGGGCGGCACGGGCCGTAGCTGGGCCGGCCGCCTAACCCCGCCTAATGGGTGGTACCGCCCCTGACGATAAACGAGAGAATAACTCTTTCCAATCGCACAGACAAACACAGCGTTACTTACAGGATGTAAGATAAGTAAGACAACGAGCGGTGTGTGTGTATATATATATAGTGTGTGTCTATATATATATATATATATATATATATATATATATATATATATATATATATATATATATATATGGGGTATGAGAAATATATATCACGGTACTAGATATATGTGTAAAAGGTGGTTTAATTTCTGATATGCATAGCTTTGTTTTAAGCTGAAGGTAGGCTTGGTTAGATCCAGTGATCATTCAAGTAACAACATTCCACACTCATGATTACTTATGAAATTTGGTTACTCAAGTCATTGGACTCCAAACTTCTCATTTACGCCCTATTAAATTCATTCATGCCTTGTGAGACCTATGATGAGCGATTGTTGTCACTAGAAAAAAAAATGATTTTCTACAATTTTATTTTAGACTTCGTCAAGAGAGAATGGTGCAACAACATGTCACTTGGTGAGCCTTGACAACAATCTCGCAGCAGGTAGCTAGGCTGGATTTTTCACATTTTGGTCCTTTTGAAAAACTTATTTCGCAAATAGACCCCTGAAAAAACTTATCCCAGAAATGGTCCTTTTTGGGGCGCCAGAGTGGCTGGCGCCGTCATCCAACGGGACGGCGCCAGCCTCTCTGGCGCCGTCCTCCTGCCACCGTGGCGCACGCGAACCGACGTGGCAGGAGGAGGGCGGCGCCAGTGGCTGGCGCCGCCCCAGGGAGGAGGGCGCCAGCATGGCTGGCGCCGCCGCCTCTATTCCTGTTTCTCTGTGTGGAGTTGCAACGGTGTCATTTTTATTTTATTTTTTTGATGTTTTTACACACTCAGGATCACGATACAACCAACCATAAAAAAAATTTAAACTCGAACTACCACTTAGCTAAGTCTGAAAATATCTAGTATACCACTTAGTCTACTTTGCACCTTCACTAAAATTAGACCATAACTCCTTTAGTAAAACTCTTTGATCAGCATGTTAAACATAATGCACTCTACCACTATATGAAATTACTTAATCTAATTCAAAATATAACCACATGAAATGACATATATAAGTTAAACAGTACATAGAGATGCAATTTTTTTATTTTTATTTCATTTTTTTGATATTTTTTTCACACTTAGGAGAACATAGGAACCAACCGTATAAAAAATAAACTCAAACGGACAAAATATGTGACATGTAGAATTTTCCAAAACTCTACCGAAATGGACAAAATATGTCATCTATTAAAATAGGCGTAACTTTCTCATACGGACTCGGAATTAGGCAAATAATATATGCATGGACATCTACAGAAAAAGTTACATCCGATTCTCCCCAGCTTTGCTGGGTTCGGCGATATTAAAACCTCCAAATTCCGCTTGCAAGATTGTGTTTTCGAGGAGAGAAGTTTTTCGGTGGAGCTTTGGAAAATTCCATATGCCACATATTTCGTCCGTTTGAGTTTATTTTTTACATGGTTGGTTCCTATGAGTTCCTAAGTGTGAAAAAGTATCAAAAAAATAAAATAAAAATAAAAAAGTTGCACATCTCTCTCCTCTGCACTAGTTCGGAGAGAGGAGAGGAGAGGAAAAATTCTACATGTCACATGTTACGTCTATTTGAGTTCAATTTTTCTATGGTTGGTTCTTGTGTGTCCCTAAGCGTGAAAAAAATATCAAACAAATAAAACAAAAATAAAAAATTTTGGGGGGGGGGGGGGCGCCAGCCACTCTGGCGCACTCCCCCTAGCCACCTCAGCATCGCCCCGCCACGTCGGCAGGGGGACGGCGCCAAAGAGGCTGGCGCTGTCCTGTTGAACGACGGCGCCAGCCACTCTGGCGCCCTAAAAAGGATAATTTTTGGGATAAGTTTTTCTAGGGGTCTAGTTACGAAATAAGTTTTTCAAAAGAACCAAAATGTGAAAAATCCAGGGTAGCTAGGGTGGTACTTGTCGTTGACCTTGACATAATTTGGAATTATTGGGCCTTTAATAGATGTCACAAGTACATGTGTGCAACCTTGTTGTGCATCATAACAGCAGCAGAGATCGTGACAGCTCAAGTTAACCGCATGCCCCCTTTCAGCTTTACAATTAAATCTGAGGGTCCCTTTGAATCACAGGAATAAGAAAACGGAGGAATAGGAAAAATATAGGATTCTGACAGGAATGTAAATGTAAAATAGAGGATTACAAAACACAGGAAAAACATAGGAATGACCGTTTGATTGGACCACAGGAAAAACACAAGAATTTGAGGAGAGATAAAGACTTAAAGGATTTCTTCCACGAGGTTCTACCTCTTGTTAAAATTCCTCCAAAACTTATATATGAAGAGGCATTCTATAGGAATTTCATAGGATTCCATAGGGTTCATTCCTTTGATTCAAAGGGATTTGTAGGAAAAATTCCTATAGAAATGAAATCTTCTAAAATTCCTATGAATTTCCTTTGAATCAAAAGGGGCCTGAAGGTTTTTACCATTCCTGTAGTTATGCATGCTGCACACCTAATCCCTGTTATTCCAGATCAGATCAGGGTGAAGTTTTGGTGATCGATCCAGGAATTTTTTTGGATCAATATGATTAACAAACAGAAGATATATGAGCTATTTGATTCGAATGATTACATTTGATCCTACATGCCCATTTTTCTTTTGGCTTGCGCAATAGAATGTAATAGTCCCATGATGTATCGACCGTCTCCTTTGGAGTTTGGAACAAGGAATTTTGCAGAAATTAAACAAGTTTTTGTAAAATTGCTGCGTTCCAAAAGAACTATTGTTTTGAACAGCTCAAACCACAGCCTATTCACAGGAAAATACAGCAAGGGCTTGTTCGGTTTTGAACGGCTCAAACCACACAGCCTAAGGCTTGTTCGGTTAATCCATATAAGGAAGACATTAGAGGGGAATTAACTTCACATGTGGAATTAATCCCTTTCAACCTTTTGAACCTTTTGGGAGGAATTAAGAAGGGATTAGAGGAGATTGAAGGAGATCTATTCCACACCTTCCCCAAATTCTCCTCAATCCTTAGGTGAGGAATTAACGGAACAAGGTCTAAAGCAGATGCACATGTTACTGCAGTTGAAAAAAAATCTAACCCTCCTACAGTTCCAGTTGCAGTCAGCTTACTGTCACACTATGCAAAATGGTAAAAGGCTGTTACTGTCTGAAGCTGTTTTCTTCCTACGATGTCCTGGTCCAAGGAATGGCATGTGAAAATGAAGTGTTGAGAAAAAGATGAAAGCATCGGCCCTGAAAAGCATACAGATGCTACAGCTAAAATAAAAATCATATGTGAATTGAATCATATTAGTGTGTTGTCAACCACAAATCTATGATGAACTATGCATGCAATCTTCATGAATGGTATGTTTATTGCCTTTTTCCCTGATGGGTAATCTAAGGGTGAAAGCATGGTGTAACATAAAGCAGTCAAGGTACAATTTTTTATAACATCAGAGCTGCAATGCTCTACCAAAATAAATCGACCAGTCTAAAGGTTGTGATTTGTGACAAGTCGGTCCATCTGCATTATTGTTGTTGTAGAGTAGAAAAATATACAAAAAGAAAAAAAAACGTGCTAAAATATATTTATAGGATTAAAAGGACATCTAGTCATGATCCTGAATGAGTTGTTTGCTAGCCCTAGAAATTCCTCCCAGAAACATATAATTAATTATAACAAATCGCTCACTAATTCGTTTCAGTGATAGACAGGCTTGAGTATTTCGCCAAATGATATGATTGCCCTATCAATCACAACCCCACAAGTAGTCGTAAAGTTCAACAGAAAGTTGTTTTTGATTTCTTGATTTCGACGCCTTAGGGTGACAACATAGAAAACACAATATATATATTTTTGTTTCCATAATAAAAAAAAGTCTTACAGTTACATGTACAGCATAGTTTATATAGACAGGGTCACATAACATAACATAATAGGCAATAATCTACCAATACAATTTACATCATGAACGTAGCAAAGACGGAATTAATTAGTATTTAAGCACAAATGATTCCGAGCAAGATGCAACGAGTTAAGCTAGGCTATTGGTACACCATACACAGGTAGAAAAAAGTGTACAACGATCAACAACATAAAAAAAAAAGAAAGAAATTATATCGCCCAATGATGAAGTACGAGAGGGACATTTCAACCAAAAGTATGATGTTGCATGTAACAACCAATAGAAATGGACCTAGGTTTTTCGGTATTGCACAAGGCAGGCAGGCAGCAGGGGGCGTGTGCCCACACCAAAGGTACCAACCTGAACTTGCAGACAAGCGAAAGATTCCAATACGCATAAAAAAGTTGCTTTCAAACAAATCTGTAAAATCATTCACCCCTTGAAACTTTTGCAATGCAGAAAGCAAAGAATTATTGATGGGGAGTTCACATTATTCAATCTCCATCTTTACATTTTTCCTTTGACACCATCGTACAAAAGTCGGGCATACTTGGTTGTTCTGAGACGACATGATAGCTGCTAACTATTTTTAGCATGTTGTTGAGATGTATCACTATGCCTTTGAATCTAAAACAGAAGGAAGTTGGCTGACATCTAGAACATATATACTGTACATACCATATGGAATTGGCAACATAGAACTGTATCAAGAAATGATTAATCTATCTGTATTGCTGTCTATTATTAGGGTTCCATTTTATTACGATGTGGTACTGATTAGGAGGGAAAAGACTTTATTTAGATTTAGGGACACAAGAATGAGAGCACAAGCTACACTGAGCTTGCCAAATAACAAAAGGTTATTTGAGACACTGACAATGAAACAAGCTGCAAACCACAGAACAGAACACAAGGCAAACATGGAAATCTCAGTTTATAAGCATATGCCACTGGCAAAATTGACTTGTTGCTCCAACTCCATATCGTACTATAATTCGCTCGCACCTTGTTTTCCTCTTCTGGAAAGGAGAGCATCTGTAGCCCCTGGTTAGAAAAACTCAACAAAGCGTTCATAGGGCATACTCCCTCCGTTTCACAATGTAAGTCATTCTAGCATTTCCCACATTCATATTGATGTTAATGAATCTAGATAGATATATATGTCTAGATTCATTACATCAATATGAATGTGGGAAATGCTAGAATGACTTATATTGTGAAACGGAGGAAGTATAAACTAAATTATATAGGATACATGAGTTGTGCTGGAAAATTCTACTCTTTGCTCAACCTTTCAAGCAAGATTAATTGTGAGTCATCTGCTAGAATCTGCTTCCTCTGGTATCACTGTCAAAGACACAGTTACATTGTTCGCCCTTTTAACAAGAACTTTAAATGGCACTCCAACCTTGTCCCCCATGATATCAATGATCTGGAATAAATATTTTATTTATAAATATGGTTTAACATGCTCTTGGCTCTTGGATTGAAGACAGGACAATATAATTACTAGGTTCCTAAAGGAATACTGTAAGTGATACACTAGTTAGCTTAGTTACCTCTTTGATGCTCTCAACCAGTTTACCATCAAATTCAACGACCACATCCCCAGGACGAAATCCTGCATGTTCAGCTGGTGATCCTGGTGTAACCTGGTTGACACTCATATGGTGTCAGCAGTGCCAACTACTATTATGATCATAATAAAAATAGACGCATGCTAAACATGTGACACCAGATTTGCAGTTGAGTTAAACAGTCATAGACTCCAGCCAATATCCAAAGGCCATTGCACTGTGATGATTAAAACTGAACAGTAAAATTCAATTCAAACAAGGTGATTAGATCCACTCTACCCAGCTGCAAGAAGATTCATCAGACATGATGAATTAAGCATCACTTACCATTGGAACAAGCACACCATTTTTTACATCTGGAAAAGAACTTGATCTTTCTTTAAGTTGTGCAATGATCATTGGGTTAAGGTCAAGCATCTTTAAACCAAGCCATGGTCTTACAACTCTCCTGCATTGCATGTTGGAGAAGTATAAGTAGCAGCTAAGCATATTACAAGCTAAACCAGAACAACTAAGCTAAGTGTTCATTACAAAAGCAAAGCCATGTCTGATTTCAAGTAATTGTTCACTATTGAATGAGGTTTCATTACTTCTCTTCGCACAAGAGAAACCAACAGGAACTAGAAGATTTAATCATGATAAAATAAATGTGACGATAATACATATATTACAGAACTTTACTGTTGTAAGCATGTTGAAACTATTTTGAAAGAACACACCCATTTTACCCCATTTGACTCTTATGAGCCCCCAAACTACAAAAGCATAGGCCTCACCAGTGTTTTCCTCTCTCTCTCTCTGTTTCTCTTATATGCAACTGCCAGCAGCTGAGCGCCGCTCCCTTCCCAATACCCTCACTGTCAAAGTTACTACACGAGCAACCTTGTCACTGTCTTATTTTCAAATATGCATCTTCTCGTAATTTTATCTCCCCAACTATCCTCAATAATCCTGCTGGGTCTAAGCAGTGCTCTCATTCCTCACATCTTAAGCCATGGAGGCAAGGTGGAGCAGTGGCCAAGATCAAACGAATTGATAAGATGCAAAGTTGGCTGGTTGGAAAAGTCTTGCTGTCTTGAAGAATGGTACAAAAGTTCACATACTCATCAAGAGTGAATTCATATCATTTTAAACACAGCGAAGGAAAACAGGTGAAATGGAAAACCACATGTATGCTACCAGAGAATTGAAATGGGTGAGAATCGCCTTCCTATTCACAGTCACCTACTCCTAGTCCTCATCTAGCCACTGATACGGATTGTTTGGGGAATTCGAACTAAATATACCAGCCCATCCCGGAAAATTGGTCATGATTTAACCCGTGCTAAACAAGACTTGAGTGGGATCAATGACTGCTATGGTGAGGAACTCAATAACATGGTAGCTAATTCAACAGCTTTATGGCTGTGTAAGGCACCGAAATAAGGTCAGTGACCACAACTGCTTGAAGCGGCGGTGATCAGCATGAAACTATTAGTGAGGGCTTCCATGTGTGCATTAGTATGCCAACTGTGACCATGTGCACACTAATATGCACATGAAAAGGACAAGTAGGGTTTGTTTTTGCCAAGATATAGTTACTACATTAGGACGTGACGACTCGAAATTTCGAATGCCATGTCAATCAAAACCACACTAGTCTTGAGAGTAAAGGGTTTACTGATTTTGATAATCAAGAGGGTGAAACTTAGACGGTCATGTAGTTGAAGGGTTGAAGTTGGATTCTTCTGGTAATTGAGGGTGTATACTAGATATATACCTATTTCAAAATTGACAGAAATATTACAAGCTGATTTGAAAGTATGATACTATGATGCTAGATGTCCTCATAATTCATTCTTGTACAAGAGTGCAATGCATGTGGAATTTATGTCACAAAAAAAAGAAAACTATTCATAAAAGTCAATGCATAAAGACAGACTAACCACCAAACGGTTTCTTGTATTTTATTTCTCCCACAGAACAAGTTGGAAACAATGAGGGCATTCCATTTAATTCTCACATTTATAGAAGTACCTAAGTGGGTAAACTACAGGCTTTAATCACTAAAAAAACCTCAACCTGAACTGAACAAATATATTTCAAAAGAAAAGACGAAATACACAGGAATGGTATCTAGGAATAAATAGTACAATGCAACTGGCATCATACAACTTAGAAGGAAGGCATACCCATTTTTCTTGAAGTTCTCCACTATTTTCACAATAGAGTCAATCGGTACTGCAAAGCTCAAACCATCAGCTGCCCAAACTTTCATCACATTAACTCCGACAATTTCACCGTCAAGATTCACAAGTGGACCACCAGAGTTTCCCTGTGTCCAATAAATGCGTGAACTATTTGACATAGAGAAATTGAGAAACTAGAACAGGAACTAGGGAAAAAAATATATCCTAGAAGTCGGTACATGTGAGCCCAATCATCCATAGGACAGAGTACAGAACCAACAAAAAATAACTCCAACAGACACAAAGGAGTTTATGTTCCTCCAAACAAGTATAACAAGAAAGCAAGAAAATTAAAAGGAAAATGGGATGGTTGACAGCACAATGTACTATATTTTTAGTTGGGTAAGCCCTGATAAGAAGGGGAAAAGTAATTCACAATTTTCCGATTACCCCCTTCTGCAATTACTAGAATTGCGATCCTGAATCAAATTGTATATGCTTCAGTAGAATTGAACTCTAGGATCAAAGCGTAGAATCTTAGACCTATTCCAAAGTGGCATGAGAGTCCGTTTGATCACCGTGGCACCTAATTTGATTCATTTATCGTTTATCTTAGCACCATAATACTGTATTCCTCTTAATAACATAATACCGTGGAATACATGCATTATTGACTGATTTTTTTTCAGCAATGTGCAGTACATTCCATGGGTTAATGGTAAGCATGTTTATTAGATCATTTACACATAATTTGGTTGGTAAATATACTCCCTCCGTCCCAAAATAAGTTCATCTTTGCCTCCACTTGTTTGTCCCAGAATAGGTTCATTTTTAAGCAATCATTACATTGTAGTTTGTGAAAGTAGGGGGACAAATGCGTTGGAAGTAAGTGGGGGACAATTCCATCGGGATTTAGTTGGAGGGTATTCTAGTCCTCTTGCTTTTGTATTGGTATGTATGTGATGGGTGAAAAATGAACTAATTTTGGGACGGAGGTAGTATTATTTAGCAACTAGGTCACATTCTGATATCATTTGAACAATTCTACGCCTAGAATAGCAATTTTAATGATCTTGACATTTTATGTGACAAACTAAACTAAATATATGTAATCCATTTTTACTTTTTCATCCTTCAGGATTCCAAATTTAAAGAGAAAATCTAATTCATCAAATAATAACTTCAAAGTAATCAACGTAGAAGTTCTAATTCTTTCCAAACCTGAGAAAGACCACACAAGCCAACTCCCAGAATGGTACAATCTTATACGATCCTACACGACTAGTGATCCTATGACTGGGATTACAAGCATTCGTGGATGAGCTGTAGCTCAGTGGTAGATCACCCAGTAGAGGTCTCGGTGGGCTTCGTACCCACTTCCCTGCACAAGGTTTCGGGGGCCCCTTCTTTAAAGCCAACTCAAGGGGGACATACTTGCCCCTTCATTGAGTTTTTTTAGGATTGCGAGACTTCCAGATATGATTCTTGATATGATTTTAGTTGTTTGGTTGGGTGGAATCGTAGAAATCACCCTATAACTAGAATCGTGATTTTAACAACCAATTGTTACCACCCAGTGAGATGATATACCAATGGTAACCACTCACTGAACAAACAGAGTACATAAAGGAGATAACACCTATGAGTACCACTCACTGAACAACAGAACAGAGTAGCTGAGAACTGTGTGGTGTTACGTTAATTGTTTTATCAGTGGGTTTGAACCACAAAACTACTTTGACATATGCTTATTAGATATATTAAAATTTTTCTGCATTTATTGTGATGGTTTGGTGACAGGGAGTAGTACAATGGCATAAACATTAGTATAAAACAATCTAGTGTACTCATAAAAGCAATGACTTAGGGGTATAATGTAAAGGGTCTTGCCTTATTGATAGCACAATCTGTTTGCAAATACTCCCTTCTTATTCCTCCAAGACCTAGGTCACTGCTTTTCCGGTCAACACAACTACAAGAGAATGGGGTGGAAGTGAAACATTGAAGCCATAAAAACAAGTAGAAAGCTTGCAATCAGAAGGTAGCTAATAATCTTAGTGATGGACAACAAATGAGAGTACAACAAACTAAAGAGATTAGGTCTGCACTTAGGGAGGTGTTAACCTTACAATACCAGCTGTAACTGTGTTTTGAAGAGAAAGTGGGCAGCCCAAAGCAACAACCCAATCACCTGGTCGAAGTTTAGATGATGATCCAAGATTTGCAGATGGTAAAGGGGTCTTCGATTTAATCTTCACAACAGCAATGTCAGAGTGACGATCAGCATTGAGAACAGTGCCTTCAAACTCACGACCATCTTGCAAAGTCACACTAACCTATTACAATTTCAACCTTTGTAAGAAAAGAATCAGGATTTATACAAACACATTGCAAAAATAACCTATATCAACCAAAATCATGCAAGAATTATCAAATAGTACTAAGTAAGAAACAGTATAAAAGTATTTATCATAATTCATAAGCACAACTATTGTATAATAATTTTTAAGAAAACAAGTACTTAGATGATCCGGACCATTAGGCACTGAATTATCCATTCTAACATGGACAATAATTTGGCCCCACACTTCATAGCTATCATAAGCACAGCTATAATAATTTGACCATACTAAAATTTAGGATTTTACCACTAGTACAGAGAAAAAAATTATTCTACGTCATTCTCTTTCTTCAAAAGAACATTAAAGGCCTATAACACTCAGTTTGTCCAAGCGCAAAGTGGTATTTGAAATACAAAACCAAACAGTAAATTCCAATACAAGCCAATTGTAATTTGTTGCATCTGTACTAATATAAGGAAATAAGTTAGTACATAAAAGCCTGAATTCTAAAGCTTGGAGTATATCAGATAAGTGTATTTCTGATGTCCAAGATTATTTTCCCATATTAGGGAAAAAAACACTAACCCCGGAAAAGAAGAAGAAGAAGAAAAGAACAATATGATATAAGGGGTTATCCATATCATGGCATTGAGTTTCATCAAATGCCTATGTGTGCCACTAATGTCTCACCAACGTAAGACAACTGCATGTTACCCTCACATTTTCTTTGGCATATTTCAGATATTGATGAAAACTATTGGCACAGCATGGATTTATCCTATAAAATACTGGTATACTTCCCCCGTGAGTAAATTATATTCAGGACTGAGCAAAAATCACAGATTTATATGAATAAGTGCAGGAAACATAATGAAGAAGTGTACAGCTTGAGATGAACAGAAAACTACGAAAGTTAGTGACATGTTAACAACCTTTCCCCTCAAGATTGGTTTTGTGCTTTGAAAATCTAGAACAACATGGGCACATGTCAATATTGTCCCATCTGGGTCTATTATGGTTCCAGATCCAATGCTCTTCTCTAGAACCCATCCATGAGTTTCTACAAAAAGACAAACAAAAGTTTATTATGTATAGCTAATGTGCTGACTGTAAGTTTTCACACCCTCCTTTAGACAGTTTTTACCTTGTGTAGAAGAAATGTTGACAACAGCAGGACCAACTGCAGCTGCAGCCTTGGCGATTGTATTTCGGTTAATACATCCTGGGCAACATTTTGAATCATCTGAGTTTCCATCAGAGCTCTGGTTGCTCAAATTAGTGGGTGGAACTGACGCAGATGCGAAGGAATTTTGGGTGGGAAACCCTGCACTCCAATTTGATGCAGATGTGAAGAAATTTAGGAAGGAAAACCCTGCACGTAAACTGTACACATTAAGATCTTCAAGGAAAAAAATACGAGAGATTAATCAAGAAGATATGGTGGCTACTATTGTTTTCAGCAAAAATAAATAAATAAATAAATTCTCTTGAGTGCTTCTCTTATATAGTGAATATGTTGTTAAGTTACACATCGTGAATATTCTCATAACATTTTATTGACAATCACAGAAGCTGTTCAGCTCAAATACTCATAAAAGGCATTTATACAGTGTAGAGGCAATTTCATACCTTCTACAGAACAAGCGAAAGTCAAAGCTAACTGTTAACAGCTGAAATCTAGCACATACTTACATGGTCAGATATACGCAGATTCTGCAATGTAATGGGATAACATACTATGTTCTCATCTCCACACACAACATGCCATCAGATTGGTCCTCAACCAGTCCTTTTGGTACACAGCACAATAGAGTACATATAATATAACATAGTGGGGGCACACGCTCAATTTAACTTTTTTATTTTAGGAATGACTGAATTTAAATTAACTACCCATCAAGAAAGCAACTGCACAGATAAACAAAGAAAAACTCCCACGCACAGGATCTCTCACCCACCTACTAAAAATTCAGAAGCATTGTTCATTTCCACATCGAACCACCATTTCCGGAAATCACAATGGTGGTTAAACTAGAATAACTCCAGCACATTGATGCACAACACCGTAGCTACACACCACACGCTAGAATGTATGCATATGACAAGGCGGCCACAAATTTATAGCTCAATATCACACTATGTTCATACATAGTTGGCAAAATACATTGAACTCGCCCAGGAAAGCAGATCACGCATCTACGTCGAGCAATCACAGTAGGAAAAAAAAACAATGAATCAATCCACCGTTGCGAGAACCGTACACGTCACCCCGACGAACGACGACGCCGAAAAATGGCAGGAGCTAGTCTGAAAGAGAAAACGGAAGGAAACCGAAGTACCTTCACCGAGAGGGAGCGGCGACGGGAGGAGGTGTGCACTGCCCCCCGGGAGGATCCCCGAGGCCGCGGAGGACAGCGCGCGGCGGAGCGGCGAGGACGCCGAGATGCGGACTGCGGTGGTGGTGGTGGAGAAGGCTTCACCGTCACCGTCGCCGTCGCCGTCGCCGCCGCGGCGGTCGTACGCGAGCGCTCCTGAGGAGGAGGCGGCGGCCGCGGCGGCGAGGAGGAGCGCGCCGGCTCGGCGGGGGCGAGCGGCGCGGAGCATTGCGGCGGCGGCGGCGAGAAGAGACGAGAAGAAGAAATAAAGAAAGAAAAGAAAAGGGAAACGTGTTTGGTGGGCCGTATCGAGGCCCATTTCATGGGTGAAGTCGGCTGGGCCCATTTCGAATGAAGAGTGGGTAGGGCTGGATGGATCTATGTTTTTTTTCTCATTGGAGTAAGTCTATTTTACCTCTCTCATTATCTTGCCCCTTAATCGAACCGCATCCCTCAACGGGTCCCCCTATTACGCGATTGATCGCTGGCGCCTGCGGCGAGCGATCGGGGAAGGACCCACTTGTATGCCTAACTTGCGTGTGTGGAGGACGGGAGATCGAAACGAGAAAAAAAACTGGTTCGTTGGTTTTGCCTTTTTTCTGTCTTACATACAACTGGTTTGTTGGTATTCTAACCATTGCTTCACATATTTTTCAGTAATTTGGGATGATCTAAATCCTAGTGTAATTAGGATGTAGTTGTGGGCCACTGGGCCCTAACATGTTACTTCCTACGTACGTTTACTTTTGACATATAAACTAACTGTGTCTAAACCCTATACATACAAATTTTTGTAGAAAATTTATACACGTAAACTTTTAATATAGAAACTTTATAGGTATAAACTTTAGATCTATAAACTTTCTATAGATGAATTCAAACGAATTTAAAAAATAAATTTTAAAAAGTCCCACATAGATATTCGCAAAAAGAAATGATATGCACGTACACACGTCTCCTTAGGAAGAAGAAAAGGAAAAAAAAGCGCTAACTTGGCTCCATGAAAATCGGTAATAGTAAAAAAAAAGGAAAATAAAAACAGTTAAGGAGCAATTTCTAACATAAAAAGGTAAAAAAAAAGATGACTCGATCACGTGGGCGCACGGATGGCGATCGTCCGCCCGTTAGCAATTTCGTCCCTCAACCACACAACCAAGTATAACTCCATCCTCAACTTGAAAATGGTTTATGCTGAGTTAGCAGAAAATACTTTAAACAATAATAGTGACCCCATGTGTCATCCCCTCTCTCTCTTTCCCTCTTCTCTCTCCTTCCACCGCCTCCCCAGCCTCCGCTTGGTGGGTTGTATTTTGGCCCATTGCTGAGGTGCAGAAGATTTGTGGCCCGTTTTGCATGAACGGCCAGTTCAGTTTGGTTGTTTGGATAGGCCTAGATGGTCCATGTTTTTTTCTTTTTCTTTTCCAAACTCATTCGTGTGTGTTGCGGGGTACCGAAAACCTAGTGCTCTCTCTGTTTTAAATTAAGGGACATTGTAGATTGACGTCAAAATGTGCCCTACTAATTTATCGGTAGTTTAAATAGTAAATGTGATAGTTTAGTTTAATGCTAAATAGTTGGTAATGCCCATGCTTTTATTATAAGATTTGCCATCATGTTGCTAACAAAACATTAATAACGAAAAAAAGTATTAACAGCCGCATCATTTGCTTGTTGGCTTATCAGACGTAATCAGAATTTAAATTTCAAAAGTTAATTTTAGATTTGATTTTAAAGTTTCATTAGTAGTTTATTATTTTTTAACATAAGCTTTTATAAGTTACTAAAGGATACAAGTATATAAAACTTCTACTTATAAATTATTTTAGTTGCTTTAGTTTGTTTTTCTACGGATTATCAAGTAGGGATCAAACAATGAGAAGTGCTAAAAGAACTCGCGCAATCCTTGACTTCACCAGAGCTATTTACGCATTTCATCTCCTTTTCTCTCTGACTGATCTAATATTCTTCCCTGTTGGAAGCTTCCATTGTACGGTAACGTACCATTGAATTTTCAGACCGAATCGAATCGAAGCAGGTTTTCCAGGATACACATCATCATACATGATGAAACCAAGAATTCGTCGTTCAAAGTTCTAAAATCGAGAAAGAGAAGCAGTATCAATTTAGTACTTTTATAATTTATATTTACGCCTGCGGGCAACGGACGCTGTCTGATGCGAGACAACATCAGGCAAATTACATCGATCGTCGACAAGTTAACTAACTCCATCCACCACTGCTGGATCGATTTCATCATACATATATGTGCAAAACGGAATCAAATCGCTTCTCATTCTAGCAGAGATCAGAGTCTGAACTCGGGAAATTAAACAGCAGTTCAATTGTCTAATCAACGTTTGCTCTTCCTTCTCTTCTAGCAGAGAATTGCAGAAAATGATGATAGAGATTAATAATAAAAAACTTTCGCGGACAAGTCGATGCAACTGATGATGATGCCAGATATGGATCTTGTTCAAGTGCAGACAAATCGTGATATCGACCAAATTTTCAGAGCGAACCGAAGCATCGATCGATCGATCGTCTCGCCCGGTGCAGTTTTTTTTCCAGCTCCAGCCAAGAAAATCTCTTCTTCCAGGATATACACATGATCAGACACGGAAGAACTTGCCGTTGAAAGCTCTGCTGTTTTTGTTCTTGAGAAAACAAAGTTACGTTGTCGTGTAAAGAGGAGCACGGTCAGTCAGTATTCGTGCAGAGATAGATCACTGTCTGAAAAAAAAGAACAGTTCAAGATTCTCTTCTTCCGTTCTCTGTTTAGATTAGTTGTAAAAAAAACCTTGCGTCCATAGTACAGATTAATGATGGTTAGATTAATCAAACTTTTTTGCAGAGAAGTCGATCGATGCAAACTGATGAAGTCGAAGCAGACAAGTGGCGATCAGTTTCTTCTGCTGAAGATTTCTGAAGGCAAACGTTGCTTGTTTTGCCGCCATGGACGAGACGACCAGGCTATAGGCGGCCATTTTCGTCCCTGACGCCATCGATGAGCTCGCTCGATCAGATTCCAGACGAAAAACCTCTACAAGATGGTTTAATTGCTTAATTAAATCGCAGTGCTGTTTGTGATCGATGACGTCCATGTGGATCAGAGACAAAGCATCCGTGGCATTACTTTCAGAAAAGATAGAGTAAAGAGTGAAAGATATTGTTGCAGCCTTATCATGATGCACTTAGAAGTTAGAATGCAGTTCAGACGATGACAAACGGACCATTGCAAACAAAAAAATAAGTAGAATTAATCTCGTAAAATAGTTTAGAGATGATGCTGATGAACTGTGATGGAGACCTGTATGTTGACATGTTGTGTCTCTCCTTAATTATGTAGAGCATGACAATTTAGTGTGATAAAATAATAGTAACATTTCATGCTAGCTAGAATGACTCAACACTGTCGTTTGGATTGATCCAATGGGCATCTGATTCGACAACCACAGCCACTTGCATTAACAAGTTAACATCAGCTGCAAGCAGACATGGATACTTTGGCATGCAGCTCTGATGAACATCAGTAGACTCACTGTACTCCAGTCCACTAGACTTGTCTGCTCTGCATATGCCATGGAATTCTCTGAACTTTGTTGCATTTTGCATCATGCTGCCTGCAGAAGCCTGAATTTTACAAGGCAGAGAACGACCAGTCCACATGTCACAATGACTTTGCACGGTGCTGTACTGTAGTACTATGTACTTTTCTCTATGTCCAAACACTTTCTCTGAATAGTGGTGATCTTGGACAGTTCAGAAGCTCAGTACGTATACTTTTCTGTGGTCCAGGAGAAAGAGTTTTTTCATTTCTTTCTTGTTCTGTTCTGCAAATAACTGAACATTAATTTGATCGATTTGTATGAGGTGGTGGCTCCATCTGTTGCCTTGTCTGGCTGCAGTGTTCTCGAAGACAGGGACTGAATTTTACTTTCGGTAGTTTACTCCTCAAACCAAAAAATGTTTCTAGAAGCAAAGGTTTGGATGTGGACATATTTTGTAGCTAAACTGATGTGGATTGATGGGGGTTAAAGAAATGCATGGAAGTGGAAGCTGCAGGAAGGTTTTCTTTTCTGAAACCATGTTCAGCATCGGTATTGTATAATACTAATAGTTTCATTGTCTTGTATGTTTCTTTCTCATTTAAAAACTTTTTAGAGGCGCATACTTTCGTGGTATTTGTTAATGCAGATAATGCAAATAACCCGCTACTTGCCACTGCTTTTGTAAAACAAAATTCTGGCATAATGTTAACATAAGCACCTTCTGTGTAAAAAAATAATTTCTAGCTATAAATCTAAGCACCGTCTATACCCAGATTTAAAGTTAGAAGTTGATTTTTTTTCCTGTAACAGGGGAGCAGCGGGGAAGTGTGTATACCTATCTGTAATGAACTGACATTTCTAAATAGCTATCCTTAATGGTGGATCTAAACAAAATAACGGGAAAGCATAGTGCTTCCTTCGTTTCAAAATATAAGGATTTTCATGTTGTTTAGCCAATCCCAAGGTTAGGTCAAAAGATTCATTTTTAGTCACTTAAGTTGTTAATTTTGATATTCTAAATTACTTAGATCCTCTTTCTAGGCATGTGATCGACTTAAAATCACTAAAATAACGAGAATCATATGAATCAATATAGAAATCACTATATAGTGGTATAAAGTTCGAGTTCCAGAAATTCATTGTAGAATGAAGGGAGGACCAAAGAACACGTGATGAGTAGAAAAATGTTGTGAAAACACCTGCACAGCACCTCTACTGTACTCCGTCAAACCGGCAAACCCATGGCGGCTGCCTAGCGGTCGTCGGTTCCTTTGGTCGGCCACTGCTTCTGCTGGATCTGCATCTGTGGAGACAACAAATCGTGTCTTGAGGAAATCATTCAAGCTCATACTCGTATTAATCAACATCAAAATTCTCTCTCTAGATCTCTCTCCCAATTCATCATCATGTCTAAGACTAAGATCGAGAAGGTGGAATAAGGGCAATCCCAACCCCCTACCTCAGTTAGTGTCCATAGTATTAAATACACTGTCACATATGTAAAATTTTGAAGCGCTAAACAGGGGCGAAGCTAGCATCAAAACAAGGGGAATGCACTACCATTGAGAATCTAGAAAATTTCAGTACAACACTGTACATTCTAGTGTTTTTAAGTGAGAAATTAGGAATTTGGGGGTTCATGTGCACCTCCAATATAACATAGCTTCGCCACTAGCGCTAAAAGAGTTAACAAGAAGATAGGTAAAAAGATGAATACACTATTTTTTATGTAAGAAATCATCTCTATACAAGGAGATATGTGGCTAAAAGAGAAGAGAAGAGAGGTGATTGGATGATAATTTAATTTGAAGATACCAATGGTATAATGTTTATATGGCAGAGCAAGTACGTGGTTGGGATTGTCCTATTGCATCGATCAATCTCTCATTCAATCGTATCATGAACCCAGGATGGGCCAGATTCATCACTTACCGGCATGGCAGGGAGATCCAAATTAAATACAGACACTTGCCTCGTTGCTTTACATGTCATCGATTGCCTCTACATATCACCTTGATTTTCTTTTTCTTCTTTTGTCCTTTGGATTGTTCTGGGGGCAGCCTAATCTAGTTTTGTGTGATTGGTTCACGGTGGTATAACTTTAGTTCTGGTTTGTGCCTTTGAGGATTATTTGTTGATTAATTAACTTTAGTTTGCGTTTGTACCTTTCAGGTTATATTGATTTTGGGTCTGTTCACTTTGATGTCATTTTTAACCATACTAATTTTTCTGTTAAAGTTGTCAAAAAAATATCTACGTTTAGTTTATTGCCAAATTTGGTCAATACATAAGAAATCCTGTCAAAATTTTAGCAATATTGCCATCTTGCTAAAATTCTAAAAATTTTGATATTACTAAAACTTGTTAAGGTTTATTTTGACTACAATCTGAACAGAACAGGCTCTTTAGGCAAGCTGTTAGAAAAGCAAAAGCTTCTAGAAGGAAACTATACATCGGTGTGCATGGATTCTTTTTACCAGCCTGGATGTTGATGGGTGAGTCAACACTCGAGACACCACAAGCGTGAGTGCGTGACATGTACTGCATATTCCAAATGGAGGGATTTTTACACACAAGGACAATAGAGTTTAGTACTTTTGGGGAAGAAATGACCGGACATTTGGAGTTAACATATGCATTTTTTACTATTGTTACCACAAGGACAATTTTCATGAAGTCATTATCTTTGACTGAGTACACCCTTTTCTGGGTGTAGAGGTTTTAATCTATTGTTTTTTAAGAAAATAAAGTATTTATCTTATTAGTACAAGTTATGATTTTATTGTACCGTTTCATGCAAATAGATGATGGTGAAATTTTGTCAAATAAATATGACATTGTGCTATATTGTAGTACTATAGTATTTATAGAAAATTTCATAATCATCAGGGCGCGCACGTTTTTCCTGAAGCTTGGATATTGTATAATATCTAATTAGGCTGAGTTCTAAATAGATATTCAGAACGTCTATTTTCTTTCGTGAAACCAGCTTTCTCAAACCACGTGTTTCTTGTAAAAGTTATATATACACATGTTTTTCTTTAAAAATATTTTTAAATTTATAGTAGTTAACACTAATTTATCTCGTTTGCATGCCAAAAAATCCTAAACAGTTATAGAGTTGTGTATATAGATCAAGAAAACAAAACCGGCCTTATTGTCAAGTACCAGTAATTAAGCACTGAAAATGATACTTCCTCCATCCATTAAAGTTAGACATATTTTATATTTAAGTTTTTCAAATAAGTTGTTCCTACTTATAGGCTCTACACATTTAAATAGAGAGGAAAATTAAATGATTGATCAGAATCCGAGAAACCATTTTTATACTAAATGGTTGTACGCGTGCATATATCTTTGTTTTGTTATATACCAGATGAGTTAATTTTTTTTGGTCTTGGTGATAAAAATAATGTGTAATATTTGGAAAGGATATGAAGTACCACATATTTTATCGACGAGAGTGGTACTCCCAAGATCCACAGCAAAATTAATTTTGGATCGAGTCTCTTCATCGCTTTTGTCATTCGGCTCCAGCTCTTCTCAGGGCACTCCCAACCCTCCACCTCAGCTAGTGTCTATAGAATTTATTAGGCTGCCACATAAGCAAAAATATGATGTGGCAAAGAATTTAATGAAGGGAGAGAAGAAAAAAAGAGAGAAACCGTGTCTCATGCACGAAACGGGGTCGGGCGCAGGCACCAAGACTACGAAACAAGAGAAACTAGCGTTGGGGGCAACTCATCGTTTCTTCCGCCCGGATTTTCCTCGAGCTCTCGATCTGCTGCGCCCGCCTCCATCCCGCCGCCATGCCTACCACCGTCCCGCGCCAAATCCTCACGATTTTTCGGCGCGCCCCTAATCCTCTTCGCGCCAACACCAGCTCGTGCTTCTCTCTATCCATCTCGTTGCCTCCTTTTTTCCCTAATCACTTGTCTTCTCCAATCTCTCTCGTGACAGCTAGAATCAGCCAAAACCATCCCCAATCGCTCATCCCTGAGAAAGTAGTTCTCCCTAGCCATGCGCAAGCATGAATCTGACGGAATCGAAGATGCGTCGATCCAAATCCAATCAGGCTGCCGGTGAATCGACTGCCCTTGATCCAGATGCCGCTAGTGTTGTGGGAGCCGACGGTGCTCCAGATTCTACTGTTGTTGCTTGTGGTGCTCTACGAGCTAGTGCTCTAGGCGCTGGCTTTCCTACCGTAGGTGCTCATGCCGCCAGTGCATGGTGGCAGGAATCATCTCCCGGTAGCTCGGAATGGTAAGGTGCAAATTTTTGTATGCAAAGATTTAGGTTAATCAATGTTATTAGTAAATTAATGGGTTATATTAGGCTGACAACTTTTTGCTTCAGAGAATTGCTAATCTAGTGTTGTATAGCTGGCACTTTTTTACTTTAAAGAATTTTTTGCTAGCCTCGGTGGCAAGATGTATAGCTGGTACTGCTAATTACTTGTATTCACCTGATTAATTTAAGTCAAACTCATATATGCTAGTTTATGGGGACTGATTTTTTTCTGAAATATATTGTGCTTGTATTTCACCACTTCTGTTCTTGACACAGATATTAATTTTTTTTGTTGTTTTCTTTTTCAAGATGTATCCACCAGGTGGTTTCCTAAATTATTTACAGAGTAATAAGATCTCTCCATTTACCCAGACACATCCATTTGTGAACTATCATAATGCAAGTCAGCTGCCAGAAAATTTCCACTTTGTTGGTGCACCAATGAGTTATTCTACAATGTCACCTACAACTCCATGTTCTAAAGCGATACCGTCACCAACTGGGAGGTGTGCTGCAGCACAAATAGGTTCACAAGATAAAGAAACAATTGATATTGAGGACGATGACACCATCGAGCCTGCTAGATCCGATGCTAGGTCCGAGAAGCGATTGAATTGGTCAAATGAAGAAGACATTAGATTGGTAAGTTAATTTTCTTTGTTTCTTTTTGAAGATTTCAGTCTGTATGCATTTAAAATTATTTGCACTTCATTAAAGGTACGGTTTATTCTTCTCCTAATTGTAGGCTAGTGCTTGGCTGCACAATTCAATTGACCCGATCAATGGAAATGATAAGAAGTCATATCAATATTGGTTAGATGTTACTGCTACATACAACAGTACCACTAAGAGTAACCGTATGAGAAATCGTAACCAGTTGAAGCAACGTTGGGAGCGCATTAAGAAACCAGTCTCCGAATTCAATGGTTGCTATGCAAGAATCACTAAAATACATCAAAGTGGTATGAGTGAAGACCAAAAGATGGACCAAGCATTCCAGCTATATGCCTCTGAACATAATGACAAGCCTTTCACAATGGTGCATGTATGGAGGATATTACGGCATGAGAAAAAGTGGTCTACATATTTGAAGAAAATTAACAAGGAAAAGTACAAGAGTATAACTTCTAACCCAACTCATGTTGTGAATGTCGAAGATGCTCCAAAACTGCGTCCTATTAGGCATAAGAAGGCCAAAGATGAACGCAGCGGAAAACGTCTGGCATCAGAGGCTATTTCTGTTATTGACCAGAAACTAGATAAATTCATTGAAGCAAGCAGCAAGGCTGAGAAGATAGGAGAGGTACAACAAAGTTTGGCAAATAAGAAGCTAGAAGTAGCCAACCTTAATCATAAAGCAGCTCAGGAACAAACAAAGAGTAAAATGATTGACCTTTACAAAGACTTACTGCTAGCTCCCACAAGTGATCTTAGAGAAAGTTCAATACTATAGCCCACTACTAGCTCCAATTCATCTATAGCCAATCTAATAGCTAATTTATACAATGTTGCTTCCTATAATATTAATATATGGTCCCACCTGCCATACACATATTGCATCTTGGAGCCTGTGCTACAGCTGGCTACAAATCTGTAGTCTGCTGCTCTTCTCTCTTATTATTTATCTCATTAAAATATATTTATAGCTGGCTAATAGCCTGCTATTGTACCTGCTCTTAGTGAAGAAGCTTTGGCTGAGAGATCCAAAACATTGGAGTGTATGAGATTGGCTTTGTTTGCTAAAGATAATTGAGGTATGTTTTTAATATATTGTTGGCAAACAAATTGTGTTGTGATAGTACCATTCAAATCTGAACAAGTGTTAATTTTGTCAATTGTGTGAACTCATTTTATTTTTCTAGTGCTTGTTTGAACACAATTAATTATGTTAACTCATTTTTTATACTGCATGTTGAACACAATTAATTTTGTGAACCTATTTTCTTTTTATACTACAACTGAATACTATCAATTGTGTGAATGCATCCTCTTTTTGTACTGCATTTGACCACTATCTATTGTGTGGACCCATTTTATTTTTCTAGTTCTTGTTTGAACACAACTAATTATGTGAACTCATTTTTTTATACTGCATGTTGAACACAATTAATTTTGTGAACCCATTTTCCTTTTATACTACAACTGAATACTATCAATTGTGTGAATGCATCTTCTTTTTATACTGCATCTGACCACTATCTATTGTGTGAACCCATTTTTTCTACTGCAACTGAACACCATTAATTGTGTGAACCCATTTGACTACCCTGACATATTTATGTGTGTGTATATATATCCTCTAGCTCACACATTCTCCCCCTCCTCTGCCTTCCACATTCTTTCTTCCCTCTTTACTCTTCCATCTTCTCTCATCCTTAACACCATGTCGAACCAATCTGATGGTGATTCCCCTACACATGATGATTCTCTTGATGAGGTGAGCAGCATAGATCCAATGGATCTGTACCCATTGGATGAGATCAGCAACATATTGGGTGATCTTGCTGATCATGTGGTAGCCGAATTGAAGTCCGAAGTTGAAGCTCTACAAGATATGAGACCTACTAGGCAGAGTGGTCCGAGGAGGTATGTTGATAGGCCTTATGAAGAATCTAAACATGGGCTATTGAAAGATTACTTTGTACAGAATCCAGTCTATAATGATACAACCTTCCGGAGAAGATTCAGGATGAAAAAGCACCTCTTCTTACGCATTGTTGAAGCCCTAGGCCAGTGGGATAAATATTTCACACTGAGAATGGATGCTCTTAACCGCCCAGGGTTATCTCCACTTAAGAAATGCACATCGGCTATTTGCCAATTGGGAAATGGTAGCCCTGCAGATCAGCTTGATGAGTATCTAAATATTGGAGATAGTACTACAGTGGAGTGCTTGAAGATGTTTGTGAAGGGTGTGATTGAGGTATTCGGTGCAGAGTATTTGCGACGCCCCATGGTGCAAGATGTTGAACGCTTAGTGCAGATTGGTGAGCGTCGTGGTTTCCCGGGCATGTTAGGGAGCATTGACTGCATGCACTGGCATTGGGAGAAATGCCCTGTTGCATGGAAGGAAATGTATACCCGTGGTAATCAAGGTGTTCCTACGGTCATTCTAGAAGCAGTAGCTTCACATGATCGTTGGATATGGCATGCCTTTTTTGGTGTTGCTGGATCCAACAATGATATTAACGTCCTTAATCAATCACCATTGTTCGTCCAGCAACTAAGAGGGGAAGGTCCTCAGGTGCAGTACCATGTCAATGGAAGGCAATACAACACAGGTTATTACCTTGCAGATGGCATATACCCAGAATGGGCTGTCTTTGTTAAGTCAATACGTCATCCACAATCTGAAAAGCACAAGTTGTTTGCAAAACATCAAGAAGGGAAATGGAAGGATGTTGAATGTGCTTTTGGTATTTTACAATCTCGCTTTAGTATTTTGAAACGACCTGCACGTCTATATGATCAAGGGGATCTTGAGAATATCATGCTAGCTTGTATTATCCTTCACAACATGGTAATCGAAGATGAGAAAGACATCGAGCAGCTTCCTCTTGATTTGAATGAGACACCAAGCACATTAACTGTATAAGAAGCTACAATCTCACAAGGACCTAACCCAGAGATGGAAGAAGTGATACAAAGAAATGCTATTATTCGTGATCGTATTACTCATAAGCAACTTCAATCAGACTTGATTGAGCATATCTAGCAAAACTTTAGGAATTCAAACTAATTAGGTGATTGTTAATCATTTAAAGTCTAATTTACAATTTGCGTGTTGCTAATAACTAGTATGTTTCATTTTAAGTTGCAATCTCTGTTACATTTTAGCCTAGCAGTACCAGTTTAGCTAATTATGTTCTCACTTATTTTTCTTGATGTAAAGCTTCTGCATTATTTTGATATTGACTTGCCAACTATTTTCTTTTTATAGATCAAGTCCTGCTATTTTGGTGCTGTTGTGCTGCTGGTGGAAATGCTATGGATCAAGTTCGGTATGCTGTCGAAGCGTGTGGCAGACTTATGGTTACATATGTTTTTTTGGTTTGGTGTTGCAGTGCATCTAGAAGAACTGCTCATGTCATAAGAGACTAATTTGAGTCCAACTATTTTGGCTGCCAGTTTGGGTCCTACCATTTGGCTACCTATATGTTTTTTTTCCTTTTTATTGTACTGAGATGGATGAACTTGAAAATTCGCTACTACTTTATGCTCATATATGCACTGATATCTGCTAGTTTCTACTCATATAATGTGATTTGCACTAATATATGTTCATGTTTTGATATTTGGCACTACAGTACTATGTAGATTGGCGTTCATATTTGGACGTATGCATTGATGTGTGTCACAGTTGATCCTTCTCCATTTACAGGACATGCAAATAGCTATTAAATTTTCTTCTCTTAGAAACTGCTATAGACACTGTGCATTGGGGAGGTAGTGTCTACAAATGCATTTATTATTGTTTCTCTCTTCTAGACACTACCTATAGACACCATGGATTGGGAGTGCACTCAGACCGTACGTCAAGAGCAATAAATATAGAAAAGCCGTGCTATAAAACCGTTTCGTACTTTCTCATTGCTTCGGTCAAGGAGCCGTTTCTCACGGCATTTAACGCATAAAATCCGTATTAGTGAAGATGTGCACATTTCGATCGTGCAGCTAGCTAGCTAGCACGCAAATTTTGTGGCACGACCGTGTGCCACGCCACGACGGCTACTCGCGTCGACCATTATTCGTAAAATCTCAGTTGGTTCGTTTTCCACGCGAGGATTGTAATTAACTTTGGATGACGCCCATGGATATATCGAGCGATAGACCCACACAACACGCGTCGATGATGAGCAACCAAGCGGTGGCCGATGGATCGATATATCCACCGCCGGAATTGACCGAAATTCCGTGGGCGCGCCGGCAATTTTCCAGCCAGCGAGACCACGGATCACGTGGCCGGCAAGTTTAAGCTTGATCATCCCCTAAGATTATTTTTAGGATCTTCTAAAAAATAATTATTCTCCCTAACTAGTCGTGTCTCTCTGTTTATTTGTATGAAGAATAAATAGACATAATTTAATACGCTGCATGTAACCACGGCCAAGATTAATTTATATTAGTGTAACCTCGTGCAATATTTAAAGCTTGATGCAATTCACGGGGCACGAGCGACGTAGCATCTTAACCGATGAGGATTAATTTCAGAATTATAAAGGTTTTATTGTCTTTGGCCTTTACATTCTTTGCTTAGGTGATGATCAAATCAGGATAAAGGGAGTAGTAGGCTATGTTCGGATGTATGGTTCCTAACTTTAATTCCTTGTTTTCCACGCGCACATTTTTATACTCGGTGCATTTTTATAAGAAAAAAATATAGGAAAGTTAATTTTAAAAAAATCATATGAATCCATCTTTCAAGTTATCTTTAGCTCTGCGCCATGAACACAATAGATCCAACCTAGTGCTCGCTGCATTTGGCCTCGGAGGCAATGGTAGCTCAAGCGTCGGATCTGGCTTCCTCTACTTCCTCGGCTAGTTGGATCCTATTGAAGCTCAATGGTGGTGGCAACAGATGCTTTGCGTCGTGATCACAACCTCCCTAACGCGGTTTCGACCTTTGCTCATGTGCATCATTGTCCTTCGTCCTAACAATCCGTGACAAGATTCGTGTATTCTCGTGAGGGCTTGCGCACCCTAGCAAGGGCATAACCCACGCTTATGTGGACGGGAATCTTCGAGCTGACGAGGTGAGGCCAACCACTATCTCACCACACTGTAAATGGCCTAAGTATAGATTTTAACAATGTGTAGCCATGGAATTAGAAAATGAACTACACTATATAAAGCTGACAAAAGCAATTCTTTCAGAGTCTCATATGTTAGCTACTCCCTCCATCTCAAAATATAAGCATTTTTAGTTTAGTGACAAGTCAAACATTATCAACTTTGACTATTAATAGAAAAAAATAAAAAAGATTAATCATATAAAATTGATGTTACTAGATTTATCATTAAACAAACTATCATAATATGTAATTTTTTTATTTTAAACATCTTACTTTTATAAATATTATTGATCAAAATAGCATCTCGGAGACCATGTCAGAGACTAAAAATGCTTATATTTGAGAACGGAGGGAGTACTCATTTAGATCCCCAAACAACCCCAAAGATCCCGCTAACGAGTAAATCATCAAATTTTCTCAGAAACCATGGCAGCTCTCTACTAGCGTTACCGACAGACATATGACGCTGAACAGCAATCTTTTTGTTGATAGATTGATATATATATATCGTCGCAAATTCTAGGATGTAGTGACTCCCAAATTAAATTAAGGCAAGTGATGATCGATGCGACGTCGACAACAGGGCTGGATTTTTTTTTTCTGGTTTGGTTTATTTGAAATCTTATCATCTTTGCTTTTACAAAGTTCACATGTCGTCTCTAGGCATTTTCTTTCAATCCCTTTCCGAGAGCATTAATTAGTTGAGGTAGAATTATGCAGTGCGTATAATTGCCGTGTTGGGTGGGCACCATAACATGATGTGCTTCTGCCACCGTTCAAGGTGCACAATACGTTGTTACTGTATTATCAGGGTTTTTCTGCTTGCAGCTGTATTGTAAAATGGTTCTATGGCCAAAGTATATACTCCCTCTATTTTATATTATAATATATTTTGATTTTTCTAAAATTAAACTTCTTTAAATTTAAAGATAGAGAAATGTAGTAACTTTTTAAACATGAAATAAATATATTATCAAAATAAAATCAATGTTAGATTTAATCAAACTAATTTAATTTTATAAATATTATTATGTTTTTTATAAACTTGGTCAAACTAAATTTAAGAAAGTTTAACTTAAAAAAAGTCAAAGCGTTCGTACCAGTATATATCAAGCTTTCGTCATCCCCCTAAGATAGAACAAATTATTTTGTTAAAATTTATTATACCCATATTTAAATATATAATATTGTTGACTTTATTCGGTCTTTAGTACTCCTATGTAACATTTATCTCTGTTTTTATTGAAATATAACAATAACATCTAACAAAATTATAGCATGTAAAAGTATATAACGAAAAATATACCCATATGATTCTTATGTTCTCAATATATTTTTTTTTAAGAATTATTGATGGTTAAAGTTTTAAAAGTTTGATTGGATAGTCAACATTGTCATACTTTAAATAAGGAGTTAGCTAGTAGTACTAGATTTTAATGGAAATTCCCATATAAAATAAAATAAAAAAATGTGTTAAAAGGAGGATGGATATTTCAGTTAAAAAGTACAGGGAGGACAAGCCAGATGATATGACTCTAGGTTACTTTTGTACCAGCTAATTTGATGCAATGGAATTGACTAATAATGTGGTGAGGACAGTGAGGAGGGGCCCATGGGAGTGGTACCTATGATGTTGCAGGGTGGCCATGCAGTAGATGAGCTAGAAAAGTGAGTGGCCATGTCCTTGATTAGCATGGCCTAACAATCAAGTGAGCAATGGTAATATCTTGGTTGCTTTGACATGTCATCATCATTGATTTATTATTGGCAACTATACATTGCCCACAATAGGGTGGGATAAGATAAACCTAGGCATCTTTTTATCTTTATTTTCTCTCATTCTTAACGGATATACTATTTATCGGATGTCTAAGATCATTGCCCATTAATAGATCTCAATCCAACAGCTACGGTTTAATTTATCTTTCCCTTTAACTAGAAGTCTAGAGCCCAAAATATGTAAGGAGTGTTTAAGAGAGTCCAAGGTGACAAAAGACCATGCCACACTTCAATGAAATGTGATAGGAAGAACCATGGATTGTGGTGCAGTAGCAGTGATGCCGCCTCAACCACAAGATAATATGATGATAGTAGATAAGGTTGGTAATAATGATGAGAGAGATCAGCGGCACAGAACAATGCAACAACGACAAGTCTGATGGCGCAAATCGTGACATATAAGATAGGACATATGGGGTAATGGAGTATCATCACGGAAGATGAAGAAACGTGTGACCGACAACAATGATGTGCAACAACAAAATAAGCAGCACATAGGACAGGGGAAGACGTGGCCTGGTTTTGTGACATAGAATCCATATCAAATTGTGTATGTTGAGACTTGAGATACGAGGAAGCAATAACTCTAAGAGCCCCTTTAAATTGGACGGTTGGTAAATGAATTTTTTTTAGATTCAGTACCTTTATGATTTTGTTCTTATGGATCCCTCTAATTCATAGGAAAAGGGTAGGAAACTTTCCTCTACTTCAACTCTTCCTATGGTACCATCAAAGGACATCTCTTCTTATTTCACGCGTTTCAATTCATATAGGATTGAACAAGCATATGCTACTTTTTAATTCCTATGTTTTTTTTTCTATCCAATGCTTTAAAGGTGCCCTGAAGTCCAATGAGATTAGAGCAAACTCTAAATGAAATGAAAGTGAATCGAATTATTGATTGTGTAGTAAACGCCCTTAATTATGCCTTCATGCCGGAATAGGAACAAGGTGCATGACTCCTCATAGCCAACATGAAAACGGACAGTAAAATCCTATTGCAGTTGTAGTACTAGTATATATTGGTCCAATTTAGGTCAACTGCTTCTCTCTGAAATATTGTCTCCTTTTCCGACATACTCCATATGTAGTCGGAATGTTTGTATGGGCACGCGAGTCGGCTCATGTTATTTTTTTCCCTCTTAATTTCCAAATTATGGCAAGTTGGTCTCGTGTTATTTTCAGTCCAAGCTCTGTTAATTTAATCAGTAGTACCAAAACAAGCAGCCGTGCATATCATCTGTGTGCTATATTATATGCCACACATGCAGCCATTTGCTTTGTGTTCCCTTCTAGAAGCTTAATCGATCGTATCACCGCCCTCTTGCCAATTAATTAAGCATGGGCTTCTAGAAGCTTAATCATACTGTAGTAATATCTTAGTGGAGCAGATAATTAATTAATTAACAGTCATGCTTAATTTAATTTGTGAGTTGTGAAGCCATTCGAATTTTGGACAATGAAAAAGACACCCATGCAGGAGATTAATTTAAAAACCAAAGGACAGAAGGGAATGGAACTCGACCAAAATTAAACCATCGTTCGTTCGTACTAGTAGCATGTTGTGGCCATTGGCAATGGAATAAAAGTTTGAATTCAAAAGATAGAATTTGTTTATGTTCTATTGAGGAGAGTGATTTATTTAATTAATTTGTTCCATCGCGT